TTACTGCCATCCTCCCTGGGGCTGCAGTGGGGAAGTCTTTATTATGTAAAGTGGGCTAGCCTGGCTAGTCTTAATGGGCCTATTGACAAAGTGGGGGTGGGCAGGAAGCTACAGGCAACTGTTCTGTCTTTTGAATCAAGATTCTTTCTTTTCACATCCAGAGAAACATTCTGCCTTTTCAATATTTCCTAGGATATTTCATTTTTTTCTGGGAGAGGGCTGGATGATAACTTCCCACAGACTTCTACTCTGATTGCAATTAGTGCCTGGAAATTATGGCCACTTTAAACCCAATCCAGATGAAGGGCACCCATGCAGGGAAAGTGGCTTGGATCAAAAGATGGAAGGCTTCTAAATGCTTGTGAGTTTGATTTCCCACCATTTATATTAAATGTGTAGAACAAATTAGTCTAAATACACATCACTTCAAAGTAATTTCTAGAAATGCAGCTGTGATAGAGTAATAAGACACCTTGTATTGCATTTTATAAACAGCAGAAAAAGTAAACACAATTCTGAAATAGAAAATGAGCAAATTATTTTGCAAGCATTTCCTCCCAGTTGTATCAATGAGCTGTATAATATACTATATGCAGTTAGAAAAACCCAACATTGACCCTTTTGTTTTCCAAATGTCATATGTTTTGCAGATAGGAAATGAGACCAGCCATCTGACTCACTAAAAGACTGCTTCATATATTTTTCTGCAGGGCTTGTGGATTCCTCTTGAAAAGATGATCATAGATATATCATTTGATGCCTTTATAATTATGGGCATTTGGTATACATGGCAAATTATTGCATGGTTAAAAGAATATGCAGTGATGTAATACCAATTTTCTTCCTTATAAAAAAACCAACTCCCGATATAAAATATTTATTTCACTTGTCTGGCATCCTCACCAATCATGTTTCAATTTCTTTCAGACTGAGGGAGGATGTTGGCAGTTCTAGGCAAACTGCCACATGTGTGGTAGCTTAGTGTGTTTTAGAAATTCCTACTTCTGTTCTGCCTCCTAACCCTTCAGTAGATAGCTTTTTAGGTAATTGATTAAGTTCTAAACAAAAATGCATACTGCAAAAATACATCAATATTTTTTAAGATATCTAAGCTGAGGAACAGACACAATGACAATTCCTGCTAAGCTTGTCAAGATCTTTTGGTATTTAGTATACATCAAAAAACTATCTGTACTTTGACCTCCAGTCTTTTAAAAATATTTCTGCATTCAGTTCATGAGAAATTACTGGTTTTGCCTTGGGCTGATCATGGATCTTATTCTCAGGTATTATAAAGCTACTGATTGCTAAACAAGACTTTGTACATTCTCCTCATTCACATGTCATCATAACCACAGGCTTTGTGTCCATTAGTTTCTCACTTCTCCAAAATGCTTCTGTTGCCATCACAACAGTCCACAGCTATAACTGTTTCTAGCCGAGTCTGGAAAGCTATAACAGCTACCTGAAATTATTTGTGAACTTAATAGTTAAGCCTTTGCTGTTGCTTTGCCACACTTCTAATGTTTTCAATGATTTCACAATATTTTTTGGATAGAAATGCATATACTTAATATTCACGACTATAATAATACATATGTGTATTCTGACAAATATAGTAATCTTTTTAATCAGCAATAACATTTCCATAATTTCCATTAGAAACAAAATAATATGCACCTGTAGCTCAACTGACATATTTAAAATTATTCATTTACATGTCTTACCTGTCTAAAAAATTCAAAATAATGTTTTGGGTTAATAAAGAAGTGAATAACAGCTTCTTCTAAAATCTTAATATGCAAGGAAGTCTGGGTAAATATAGTACTAAACTTGTTAGGAAAGAAGATATATATAGAACCTATTGACTCTGAAAAAGAAATAACTCTTTAGATGCCTGGCTTTGATCATTCAAATGCCATAGTTGACCACATTCTATCCCTTGTTTTTCCAGAAAAAGCTGCTGCGTAAAAGATGGAGAGACACTAACAGTAAATGGTCTTGAGCTAAATACAGCTCTTCTATTTCAGGGTAAGGTAGCTTTCTATCAAAAAATGAGTAGGAGAAAATTATTTCATCAAGTAAATGGTACTATCTAGTAAGTACATGATTTTTCAGCTGCAAAGCTGCAAAGAAGGATTTGAATTACCTTTATAAATTTCACATTGACAAGTGGATTAACCATAACCATAAGGAAATATTTAAACGGTCTCATTATTTCTTTAAATGTAAAGCCCATTAAAAACACCTGGGGCTATTTTATCCAAAATATATCTGGATGAATAACCATGTCTTAGAGCTATTGCATGGGTCTAAATGGGATCAGAGGCAGCCATTCTTATCCAGAAAGAGAATTTCACAAATTGGGGGAAGGGGGGGGAAGGACACAGTAGGTAAGGCAGTAACTCTATGTCAGAGTTTTGGCAATGTAACTATTATGAGATAAACCCAGGAGCAATACACAGCACACACGGAACCTTTAGACAATAGTAGTTTATATACAAAATATATACAGAATATACATGCAGGAGATAAATTCCCTTACCACTCAGCTCGGACACAAGGAGAGAAAATGAAATACATGATGAGAGAGAGAAATGCTCTCTAATGAACACCTATACATATAGACACCTTGTTGCATCAGTCTTGCCTTACATTGCATCATATTACAAATTACAGTTTACAACCTTTCATCAGCTGGCAGCTGTTAAATCCTCAGTACCTTGACGCTCTACTGTGAGTCGACTCCATGGTTAGAATTTTGTGTACGGTCTAAGTGGATGAAATTAATTCCAAATGATCGGTGATGTTGGTGGGAGATTTGAGACTTAAGCTTTGAATTTTGCCTTTAGCTCACAGGCAGCCAGTGCAATGATTTAAGGACTGTTGGAATGGAATCTCAAATAGCAGCCCCATTTATATTGTCATGACTTAGGAAACAGACAGTGACTGAATGTGAAGAAGCTGTTACAACTTGTGAAATGTCGACCTCAGGAGAAACAAACTCAATCAAATGAAACAAATCAAACAAAGGCACTATCTGAATAGCTGAAGAAGCCAGATGAGGGTGTCAACATAAGATCTACCAGCCCCCACAACCCAGCAAGCAGAGTGAAATGAAACTGACATTTCTATGAAGTTCCTTGCCAAGCACAAAATGCATCGCTTGATTAGAGGTATTCCTGAGTCATGATCCCTTGGAAGCAACTATCTATTTAATCTTTAGCTATTGTGTGATACTTGTATGTGGATTCTGCTCATGAAATTCTGACCTGGATCTTGGATCTCTGGACTGGATTT